CTGCTTGGCTCTTTCTTGGCCCGCCATTTATTGCCTGCAAGGCAAACAGCCCGGAATGTCAAAGGGCACGTAAAAAATCCCATCAAGAACTGTCTGACGGTATGGTGATCCCAAGGTGAGTTATCATGAAAAATAAGTATCGATGCATCCGTGGCTTTCTGGCTTCGTGGTTTTGCCAGCTGCGTCTCAGAACTTCCTGGTGGCATGTGAGTGCTGGATTCAGGGAATTCTGGTACCGTTTAGGGGCTGGGAGGAGATGCAAGCTAGACATGAGTCAAACCAACAGTAGCTTTGTGTCCACTTAATCTCGGGCTTAGTTCACTGTGACTCAACTTCCATGGTCTAAACTTTAGTGGGCCACTACTCCAAAACTGGCCGCCCAGTCAGCTCACGCATCCGCTTCAGTGCGATTGCGAGCCACAAGTAGGCGGGTACCAAGTATCGCGGCTACGTGATGAGGTCAATGACGAGTACAACTGTGGTCCAATTGACGCGACTGTGGATGGTGGCGAAGTCCATTTTGCACCGCCTAAGCCCTGGAATGTTGCTTCCCCTGTAAATACCAACCAACCATGGTTTTTCATGCTTTCCAAGTGGTGCAGGATTTCGTCCATCCACAGTATCAAACAACTGGACGCACAGCAGTGCCTTTTCACTGGCAAACATCAAACATGACAGACCAAACTGGGCCGATTGACAGGATTTCGTCAGGGCTGCTTTGCAAACAAACCTCTACCACTGCTGGTGCATAAGCAAATGTACCCGCTGCCTCCCGTTGCCTAGCACCAAAGCCAAATCTCTGGTTGTTTTGTTGGTGGATGCTCATCGACAAATTGACGCTTGTCAGGGTCTGCGGCTCGTCTTGCCTGACTTTCCTCCACAAGCTTCACTACCCTCCACAAAGCGCGTACGATAAATTAATATGACGTAGGCTTGCCTGACGGAACAAGGATGTAAAACCAAAGGGCCCTGATCACAGTCATTTGCTGCTTTCCCTATGCTTTGAGCAATTCGTAGCACCCTGATGCCCCCTGTGAAGATAAGGGCCTGACCAGAAAGATGAAAAAGGGCTATGACCTGCACTAATAAACAGTTCATAAACAACACAAAGCTCTACTCTCTCTCCGCGCGCGAACCTCCAAATGCTGCCAAGGCACTGTTGCTGTTGCTGTTGCTGCTGCTGTTGCTGCTGCTGTTGTTGTTGTTGTTGTTGCTGCTGGCGTTGTTGGTGCTGGCGCACGTCGAACTCGATCAGCATGGCGGCAACGCAGTACCTTCAAGCCCCATCAGAACTGATCTGTCCGGCTTCTTGGAAAGCCAAGCCGGCAACTAACAAAGCGAGCGCCTACCCTAAGCCAACCCTGTAGGGAAAGACCCAGAAACAAGGCAGCCACATGCAAAATGTTGCTCCACTCGTGCTACCCGAATTGTTTGCAAAAGTAGATAAACTCATATCTAAATTGTGCTATCACTTTGTGATGCGGCAAATTCCAGCCTCCGCCAACACAATTGCCCGTGCATATTTCAAAAATCACCAAGCATGCGCCGCAATTGGCTCATAGTAAACATGAAATAACCGAATCAGCTGACGCATTGCTTCTCGAACACGCAGATGGGAGTAAACAGAAACGAGACAACAAATCGAGAAACCAAGACTGCGAAGCTGAGGATCCCTGCACTCGTCTTGACTACTGGTTGACTCTGCATCCGGCGGACGCCTTTGCCTATGAAACCTGGTCCGCCTGCAGCTCGAAGAGCTCATTGGACTCCACTTGACGTGAAACAAGTCTTTCACAACATGCTGATCCCTGTGGAAACGACAATGGAAGTCGAGAACCCGTACAAAAACATGTCTTCAAAAACAAAACTGTGGTTGCCTCTCGGAAAGCACTGAAATTACTCACTTGCCCAAAGGACCTGGAAATAAAAGGTTAACCTTTTGGGACCTCTACTGAAAGTAGACCAAACTGGGAAAACCAAAAGGTCATTTCAGGTCGTCTTTGAACCACTGAGATTATGGACTCGGGCGACTCGGGTGACGCGGTGCTTTTTTTTTCCGCTGCGCGGGGAGTTTTATGCTGAGACCCAGGCGTGACAGAACGGAGCTCGGCCTCAGTCGTGGCCAGGCTCAGAACGGTTTTTTTTGGTCGGGTCTTTCTCAACATCAAGGGAACCAACAGCCTAGGGGAAGCTTCCAATTCCATTCTTGCCAGGGATCCTTCTTTTCGGGAAACCTTGATTGAAAAACGATGGTTGACAAGAATGGGGAATCAAGCAATAGAAAAAGGCAAGCCGCCATGTTGTGGGCCCATCTTCTTTGACACATACTATGCTTAAGCACGCTATGTCCAAAACCCGGGGAGTTCTCATGGATTTCTAGCTGACCATCTTTGAGGGTGTTCATGGGTGTTTTCTCCAGTAACAAGGCGGCCAGGCTCCGTGTCGGGGCCCACCTTGTCTGCCCGGAATGGGGGTGTGCCTTGGTTGAGGGTAGCTTGCGGTTGGTTTAATCACGAAATATTTGGACTAAATGGGGGTGTGCCTTGGTTGAGGGTAGCTTAAGGTTGGTTTAAAAGGGAAACTCAATGGCAAATCATGGCATCTTGGATTTGGGCCTATTTTGACACATACCCGTTCCCGGCCTTGGTCTGGCAGGCATTTGGATTGAGCCCGGATGCCCTCTTTTCAGGCCCTGGCTGAAGTCGTCATGGTAGAAGAGGCGGAGAACCCGCGGATTTGGTGCAGAGGCTGAGGCGGCTGCGGGGCATTGCCAAATAATGCCGCTTTCCGACACCTTTTCCGCATTCAAGTGCGCTAAGCATTGCCGGTAGCTTTTTACGCGAAAGGTCAGAGGCCAAGGACTCTCAGGGAAACAATGTGACCCGTGTGAACCAAACATGTTCTACTAGCTCTAGCGTTCGTAGACCTAAATTGAAAGGCAAGTTCCGCATAAGGTCTTCATCGCAAAACGCGCATAAAAAAGGTCACGTTCGACGAGTGATGCCGGCGGGCTGAAACGCAGAAACACAATGCCAACAGCACAGGTTGTCCGAGATACAAGAAGTCTTGTTGCCAATGACACCACCAAGACCAACCACATCGGCAAATGTTTGGAGATTTGCAGGCCAGCATGCAAGTGCTTGTCTTGTTGCAGGATTCCTTGAGGCCAGGAATGGCATTGCTTCCGATGCGTTCAATGCCAATCTTCCCAACCAGCAGGGCACAAAGAAGGCAAGCTAAGACATGTTTTCCAGCTGAGCGAGCACCCCTTAAACGACCTGAAGCCCCATTTCATGCGCCACGCTCAATCAGCCGAGATGGCCACTTTCTAACGGAGAGGCCAACGCGCAAGTCGCTAAGCGCCGGTTGCGGCGCAATGTCCCGAGACGCAATCGCCTGCGGAGTCTCCAAGCTGGTGAAATCCCCCGAGTCTCTTCTTCGCTCTCCTTGCTCTCCTCAAAGGCCAATGGGAACCTGGCAAAGCAGCCCCACACAGAAGCTGTGCCAGGCTCTCGCTGGCCATCATGCACCTATCCTTGCAGGGGAGTCCATGATGTTCATCATATTAGCCCTCGAGAGCGTGGTCTAGTTCATGTAGTGACCAATCGATGTCTCCGCAAAAGGGCACGGATCAAGCATCTTGCGCTGCTTCGGAAACGGAGGTGCGCATGTCCAATCTTCAGACTCGGTCAGTTTGTGCATACCCACGAATCATCGTATGAACAACACTTCAGAACCCTGCCTCTGTCAGTCATGCGGTGAACATCAGTGGCCCGTGCAAAACAGCAAAACATATGTTGGACGGTCAGGAGCTTGGCGTCAATTTCCTGGAACTGGGTAGCTTTATAGACCAAACTCATGTCCAGGAGAGCCACCGGATAAACGGAGAAGCACTCGCAAGACACCCGCATGGAGATGCGCAAATAGTGCCAGCCTCTTCAAGGGGCTTTGCGCTTCGACGACTAAGCAAAACTCTACTGCCAGCTTCCGGTCTTACGGGTCTCACTCTCAAGTGCCTGTATAACATGTATCCACAAAAAACTCAAACAAGATACACGCTCATCTAAGACTATAGTAGTGGGGGTACCTTTGGCCCATCACAAGTGCTGATACACGGCTCCATTGACAACTGCCTACTTTTGCCTATGGGGCCATGAGTTGTCGTGAGCCAAACCAAGGACTGATCGTCCGGCAAGGCCGACAGAAGCCAGCGGAGACGCGGCTTCGGAAGCTGACAAGGCCCTGTCTTTGACAGCAACGGGCCATTCCACTGGGCGTATTCCGGCTGGAAAGGTCCCAGTTTGAGCAGGTCTAGGTTCTCCAGTAGAGAGGTTAGAATAAAGGTACCCCATTTTTTCTGTAGTCTATTTTAGTAGGGGAACCCTCCCCCAACAAAAGGGTAAAAGGGCACTACTGGGGGACCTAGATTTGGAACCCCATTTCCGCACGGGTCAGTACGGGCGCGTGGAGCTCGCCCGGGGGAGCTTTGCCCCGAATTCCTCCCGCCAGAGCTTGGCGCTAAACACTGGCCATGTGTCACGCGCGATGCTTTGTGTGGGCAGCCCTTTCCATCAGAAACTCGCAGAAGACATGTCTGTGGAGAAATGCAAGACATGCAAACACAGACACACAAACACAAAGCACGACCTGTGGAGCAACATGCCGATTCACTGGCGGCCTAAGGCTTCCCTGAGCAATTCAAGTGACCGCAGCTCAGCCGCTCACATTAGCGGCAGCAGTGCACTGGGAACAAGTCCCAACCTCGGCCATCTTCCAACTTGAAGGATGCTTCGAAATCTCCACATCGAGATTCAACGTGTCATGCTTCAATGGTTGTTATCGAGTCCAAGAAACTATGCGCTCCTTGACATTGGCTAGGAATAGTTGGCTGGGACAACTCAAACCATTTGTCCTTGATCAGTCCCTTCCTCAAGGCCTCAAACAGAAACACTTCCCGCATGGATCCAGGCCTAATCAGCTCTGATGGCTTGCGACTGGTGCAAACCGGTCGCATTTTTGTGAGCGTTGTCCTGTCATCCCCCACGTTTTTCGGGGTGCTTCAAGGGGGATCATTTTCAACACCCTGTTTGAAGGCAAGCAGGCTTGGGGTTTGAAGGTAGGCAGGCTTGCCTGCCAACAAGTGTAACTATCCCTTCTATCCATTGGAGTTAAAAATCAATGGAAACCATATCCACGCATAATATGAACCTACATGTGAAGGTATACAAATATGCATGCATGTGAGCAAACTCCATCTGAGAAATCAAGACCTGGCAAACACCCTCGGACTTGTTCAGGGTCCGCGCCCTCTTCCACCTCGCTGGCAGTTGATTGGCCTCACTGGCTGGGAAGGACTTTAAAATGAAAGGCTAAGGTGAATTTAGATTGCACAAATCCCATTTGCGTGAGCAAAGGGGCTGGCTAAACTTCACCCAGTACCAGGGACAACTATGATTATCCACGGCTTCCATCAAACATAACAGTCCAAGACCGAGGCTTTGCCAAAAACTGGCCCAGGTTTTCCCATGTTTCGTGAATGAACGCGTTCAAGCTGACGCAAGGGACCTGCATTCTTCAACGAGAACACCTGCATGTGCACAACTTCCGAGTGACAAATCTGGCCATGCGCAGATTCTCGCGTGCTTCGCCTAACTTGCGAGATAGTGCAAGACCATCCAGCTGGCAATTGGGACAGGGCGGGACATGAGTTCTAACACTCTGTCATAGCGAAACCTCATACCAACGGTCTACAACCCTAGGCGTGGTGGATATCGTGCCGTTGTCCCGAAGCAAAGGAAGAGGCGGATGCCAGCCTTCGAATGAATTGCCCGCTGGATATGTGTGAAAGTATTGTCATTTCTGATGGCTGGCTTCCCTAGCGCAATGCTAAGAGCATGCGTGTTTCTTCAGCTGCGTGAACTGGCCTTCGGCCAACTACCGAACCAATGCAGGGAGTCGTTCTCGGGCTTGTGGTGCATGGCCTTAAGATACTAGGTTGATTTGGTTCTTAGGAAGTCACCTTTGCCTTAGGCAGTTCCACAAGACTGGCATCTAAAGACAGTGTTTCATTAGAACTTTCAGTGCCCCTCGCTCGTGCTGTCAACGTGATGCACAGGCCAACGCCCGCGCATTTCAGCTGACGCTTGGAACCTAGTAATATTCAAGCCTCATTTGTCCCCGGAAACGGCTTTTACGGATTTGTGGGCACATGATTTCACTTGCCAACAAGTCATGCAATGTCTTGTGGGCACTGTCACGCGGGTAAGCTCACATCAAGCCTTGCCAAACACTACAGAGTTACAGAGTGTTTGCCAGGCCAGGGAACATAGTGGCATTCTGAAGGCAAGTCCCTAAACCTGTGGGCCCCTGTAATCCCGAACAGCCAGATTACCTCCGGAACCTGGACTGTGCACTCATAGTAGTGCCACAACACGTCGCTTCAAGGGAGGTCGGGCTCTTCAACACCAAACAGTTGCAGCAATCATTCATGCTTATGTTGTGATTCCTCATTCCACCTCCTACCATTTCATACTACCCACTCCTCAACCGCAACTGAAGAGACCTCATCTATAGCATGAATGAGTGAGTGAGCGAGCGAGTGAGTGAGTGAGTGAGTGAGTGAGTGAGTGAGTGCGTGAGTGAGTGAGTCCGTGAGTGAGTGAGTGAGTGAGTGAGTGAGTGAGTGAGTGAGTGAGTGAGTGAGTGAGTGAGTGAGTGAGTGAGTGAGTGAGTGAGTGACTGAGTCAGTGAGTCAGTGAGTCAGTGAGTCAGTGAGTCAGTGAGTCAGTGAGTCAGTGAGTGAGTGAGTGAGTGAGTGAGTGACTGAGCGACTGAGTGAGTGACTGAGTGAGTGAGTCAGTGAGTCAGTGAGTGAGTCAGTGAGTGAGTCAGTGAGTGCGTCAGAGTGACTGAGTGAGTCAGTGAGTCAGTGAGTCCGTGAGTCAGTGAGTCAGTGAGTCAGTAAGTCAGTGAGTGAGTGACCGAGTGACTGAGTGAGTGACTGAGTGACTGAGTGAGTGAGTCAGTGAGTGAGTCAGTGAGTCAGTGAGTCAGTGAGTGAGTGAGTGAGTGAGTGAGTGAGTGAGTGAGTCAGTCAGTGAGTCAGTGAGTGAGTCAGAGTGAGTGAGTGAGTCAGTGAGTCAGTGAGTCCGTGAGTCAGTAAGTCAGTCAGTGAGTGAGTGAGTGAGTGAGTGACTGAGTGAGTGAGTGACTGAGTGAGTGAGTGAGTGGGTGGGTGAGTGAGTGAGTCAGTGAGTGAGTGAGAAAGTGAGTGAGTGAGTCAGCGAGTCAGTGAGTGAGTGAGTGAGTGAGTGAGTGAGTGAGTGAGTGAGTGAGTGAGTGAGTGAGTGAGTGAGTGAGTGAGTGAGTGAGTGAGTGAGTGAGTGAGTGAGTGAGTGAGTGAGTGAGTGTGAGTGAGTGAGTGAGTGAGTGAGTGAGTGAGTGAGTGAGTGAGTGAGTGAGTGAGTGAGTGAGTGAGTGAGTGAGTGAGTGAGTGAGTGAGTGAGTGAGTGAGTGAGTGAGTGAGTGAGTGAGTGAGTGAGTGAGTGAGTGAGTGAGTGAGTGAGTGAGTGAGTGAGTGAGTGAGTCAGTGAGTCAGTGAGTCAGTGAGTCAGTGAGTCAGTGAGTCAGTGAGTCAGTGAGTCAGTGAGTCAGTGAGTCAGTGAGTCAGTGAGTCAGTGAGTCAGTGAGTGAGTGAGTGAGTGAGTGAGTGAGTGAGTGAGTGAGTGAGTGAGTGAGTGAGTGAGTGAGTGAGTGAGTG